ATATATATATATATATATATATATATATATATATATATATATATATATATATATATATATATATATATATATATATATATATATATATGTCACTGATCACAGAGATCCATGTCTTTTTTATTTGACTAAATCCCTTCGCAAACGTGGCCTCGACTGTAACAGAAAGTTGTAACAGTAGAGATATCATATGCATGCACGCATAATATTATAACACCAAGATTAGCAATCACAATAACAGCTAACGTAGCGGACTCCTACTGGGATTTCGAGTTTGGCATCGTCCGTCTGTTGGTTAATTCTTGGATCAAGTTTTGCGTATCAATGTAAGCCGAGCCACCCTCGTCGACGGCGCTCTTTGCCATGATCGACAACTCCCTCGCCCTCGACCTCATCCTGTTTGCTTCCTCACCGTCATCCATCAGACGCCTTACCGTCCTCTCTATCTCTGCTGCTGTGATCAAGGGTCTCTGTTCTGGGACCACCGTGTGCTGCTTCGCTCCGATGGCCACCCCGATCTTGAGCACCTCAACGAGCAATTTCTCGTTGAAAAATTGCTCCGCGAAGAACGGCCAGGTGACCATGGGCACGCCGGCGGTGACGGCCTCCAGGCTCGAGTTCCAACCGCAGTGCGTCACGAAGCCGCCTACGGCCGCGTGGTTCAGTATCAGGATCTGCGGCGCCCAGCCTCTCAGGATCAGGCACCTTCCCTCCATCCTCGCCATGAACCGCTCCGGCCACCATTCGTCGCGGCATTTCTTGACCGCCCAAATGAACGGGCGGCCGGAGGCCTCGAGGCCCAAAGCTAGCTCGCGGAACTGCGCCTCCGTGAACGTGCCCATGCTCCCGAAACATACGTACAGCACGGATCCGGCCTCCTTCTCACCCAGCCATTTGAGGCACTCCTCTCCGTCGATGGCGGGTTTGTTTCCTCTGCGCGACTGCTGCTCCGCTCGCGCGTTGCACAGGGACACGGGGCCGACGTGCCATGCCTTCTGCCCCAGCACGTTCCTCAAGTGGTCCGCAAACTCCGCCTCCAGCTCGTAGAAGCTGTTCACCACCACCCCGTAGCTCTTCGGCTCCCACTCTGCAATCTGACGTATAATTTCCGTGAAAACGGGATGCATCTGTGTCTCGTCAGGCATCTGCGACCGTTGCAGCTCGACACGGCGAGGAAAGTTGGGAATGGTGATGGTATCTTCGTCGGTGGGCAGCTGCTCGAAGAGTAGGCTTGCGTGGGCGCAAAGGGCGAAGAAACTGATGCCATGGAAGACCAGGCGTGGAATGTTGAGCTCCTCGGAGATGTTAAAAGTCCATGGGAGGAACCAGTCGGTTATGGCGGCGTCAGGGAGAAGTTTCGTGAGGACGCGGCGGAAGGGTTCTTGGAGCATGGTGACGCCGGTCATGAAGGCGGGATGTTGGTAATACGGGACGGAGGAGGCGTTCTCGCAACCCTCGGGTAGGCCGACGGCGGTCGAGGGGAAGGGGATGACATGGAGTTCAATGGGGTATTGGTAGGAGCGTTGGGCCAGTTCGATGGCAGCTTCCAGGGACGGCGCATTGGCTGGGGTAGTGAGTATGGTGGTTCTGACGCCACGCGCGGCCAGGAGCTTGGCCAAATCGACCATGGGAAGTGTGTGGCCGGGGGACATGAGAGGGAACAGAAGGATGTGGAGAGGTGGTGCTTCCCAGCCCATGGATGGATGGAAGTCCTTTGCTCACAGTTACAGGGAGTGAGTGAACAATCGAAGTCTATGGTTGCTTAAAAATGGCTTTTATATTGTTCTCGAACAATTGAAATGGGCTGTCATACACTCTTTCTTTCCCTCCTCTCTTTCCATCTCACATCTTTCTATTTTTCCTCTCACTTTCTATTCAAGAACTAATCTTTAACTTTCTTGTCTGTCCTTCCTCGGTTTCAAATGGATTCATCTGTTTCTTATACTTGGCTGTATTAGCAGTTTTAGATCTCAATGTCCTAAAATGGCTACCTTACGAAGGAGATTTAATGCAACAATTGTTTAAGCCATGAAGAGCCCAAAAGCTAAGCATTAATCGACAGTTCTTTTGTCTTCTAGATGGATCGATCTATTCAGTTTTTAAACTATCAATTTCTCTTCAAAATTTGTGTCATGCCGTGAGAATTTATGCTATGTTAATGTTTATCGCACATATGTCAAACAACTCAAAAAAAAAGAAAAAAACCATGCGAGGGTATGGTGCTATATGATATGATTCTAGAATCTATTTTTTTGAAGAAGAATAGTAAATCTGTGAAATAAGAAAAAAAATAGAGCCCAGTGTCGATCATACCTCGGTGACCATCTTTGGGTCTTCCACTGTCATGCTTTCAAGCCAAATAGTTCCATCAGCAAGTACCTGCAAAAACATGTTCTAAAACCATTCCAGCGCAAGGAATCGATTGGGTTCAATCGATTACTTAAAGCTCTAGATCGATGAGGAAATGACAACACTGGCATAAACTACAAAAAAAAAGCATCCATGGTGGTCGAGCAGGTAGCAATGCTGACAAACAGACACCATAAAACATCTTCAAAGACAGTTCACCGGAGACCATGAAAAAAGACATTTAAAACAAATGACTAACTGGTTCGTTCGGAATAATGCCATAAAGCATCAAGACCGAGGCTTCTCTTTCTTTTCCTTGAATAATGCCAACAGGGACACACCTGAGACCTTCACAACCTTAAACCTCACCCCAGGGATATCGCCCACCGCATGGCCCTTACGTCCAAATCCAGCAATCAAGACTTCATCCTGCAAAAGCAAAGCAACTCCCTTCGATTAGCAGAAGTTACGGAAAACTGATAACGATAAGATGGTTACAATTATTTTTTTCTGTTCTTTTTAATCTTGAAGCAAGATCAGCACCATGAGCATGTACACACTCGGCGATGCGATGATGGCACCAGATTGTTCCCACATCAGGTCTATGGAAGACCAACAAGGTAATATCCCTTTCACTAATTTTCTTGCTGACAAGCAAATTAAGATCATTTTCCAGGAGAGCTCAATGATAGAGAATTTCTAGAAAAATCAACAAATGAAACTTACATTTTCCTCGATGAAATTTAAGCAACCATCATTTGGTACAAAGGCTGCAATTTTCTTCCCGTTCTTTATCAGCTGAACTCTCGCACACTTCCGGATGGCAGAGTTGGGCTGCTTAGCTTCGATACCTCTGCAACAGGCAATCCAATGTCAGCCCTGCCAGTATAAGCAACCAAAACTGAAAGAAAGAGGAGAAAAGAGTAAAAGTTATGATCATATAGCTTACATCTTCTCAAGGACAATACCCTTGGCATGCGAAGAACCAGCGAAGGGCTTCTTCCATTCATTGCCAAGATGACTTTTCTTGTATGCTTTGTCTGCCCATCTCTGCCTTCTCCTGTGAGTTTTGAGCTTGCGCCCAGCTCCCATACCACGAGTCTTCCTGGAACCGAGCTAAAACTTAATGAAAAAGCTTTCATTTTCAACAAACATCTGTCTTTATCTTAGAGGCAGAATAGTTTCATGGTTTCTACTCCTTATCATCTGAAATGCAATCTAATGGCCTGGTACCAAAAACCAGTGAGTTTGTCACAACACTTAGAAGCACTGATCACTGTTTTTCTTTCTGCACATGGTATATTTCATAATCAAGATCCATTCTCATACATGATCTTAAAGTTACTACTAAATAATTTTGTTGGTTATGTCACAGACATATAAACTTCGTCCTTGCCACAATCTGAGACTGAGTTACCAAATCTGACACCCCTACCACTGAAGCCTTTGTTCTAAGACAATCAAATCACATGGATCATAAACTTAAATTCCATTTCATGTTAAAGAGGATCAGTGCCAAGCAACTACGTACCAGTAACAAACCTTAAGGACCCAATAAAATTAGGTCAAGGCTGAAGCCAATAAAAACAAAGGAAGCCAAACATTAGCGTTGTTTTGTTTTACATGTTGCCAACTTGCAGCATGAACATGAGACAGATACGGCCTAGTAAGTTCAGAGAAGAAAAAAATCATATCACCATCATACGCTTACTCAAACCAATTCGGGATTCCAACAACTAGGCACAAATGTTCAAGGAATGTTTCCCTGATCCAGAACGTCTAAGTAGCATACTTGGATTATTACATGCAAATGACTCATCCTGATGTCCAGCATTTCCTTCCACATGAACTAGCAAGGCAACCTAATATTCAATTATCTTCAACTTCTACTATAATCAAACGGTTCGCATCAAAGATTAATCAGAATAGAGTAAAAACCTGTTTCACTCGTTGCTACAGACCTCGCAGCAATAGCATCAGATATATGATGCAAGAGCTAAACTATAGTGATCAATTTATGGCATCAGATACATGATGTAAGAGCTAAACTATAGTGATGAATTTACACATTAAAAAAAAGTATGATGAACGATGTAAGACTGAAGAATTACAAATCCACAGTTCAAAAATAAACAAAGAAATAAAAAAAGCACAAATGAAGAGTGCCTTTTGATTACTCACTCAGAGAAATATTGACATTAAATGCAACATATTTATTAAAATCAATAGTCATCGCTCATAACCTATGTTAACATCACATGGATTGAATGTCCCAAGCAATCAAAACCCATTCGTTTTCTTCTCCAATTACCTTGAAAAGATAAAGCATTTAACCACCTAAAGCAGTAAAACTACCAATATTGAACTTGAAAGTTCCAACGTAAACCGCCAAAGATGACTCCAACGTCCATTAGAACCAGATCCAAAACCCAATCCAAGATATCCAAAGAACATAAGAAGTACAGCACCAGTGAATACACCGCAAGGAGAGTTCAAATGTGGCATTACAAAAGGACGAGGGAACTGAAAACAACAAAGTAACACGAGTCAAGCTCTAACGGAAACTCACCCCATCGTGTTGGATGTCGCAACGTCCTTCCTCTCTCACCTCTCCCTCGGCGTCTGGGGCTGGAAAGAATCCGAGTGCGGCGGAGCGTGGGGATGCCCTAGCTGCGCCCAAGCTATATATAGTAATGGACCGAGCCGCCGGTATACGCCTGCAATCCGGCCCAGTTAGCATCTGACTCCATGTGACATCAAGTCAGGCTGTCAGGCTGGCCCTATTGAAGAAGGCCCGGCCCAATGTACGCGTCTTTACACGTGATTTGAACGTGTTCACCATTTCTTTCAGAAGGCAGCAACTGAAAAGGCAACGGAATCGACTCGGTCGGTCACGCATGCCGTGAACGCGGGCGGTGTCGGCCAGCGCTGCACACTCCGCCATTGCAGGCAGTGCACGGTGACGGCGAATCACCACTCGCCAAGAGGAGGAGATCACGATCTCAGCCATCTATCCCGTGCTCGCGCGCGGTCTCGTCGATCGAACAGATGATCAGACGGTCGTTCGCAGCAAGCAGCAGCGCGTTCGGCTCCTCGCGAGCGTACGTCTCGCCGTCACGACGAGCGACACGCTGCAGTCACGTGAGGGTCCCGTGGAATCGATCCCTTGCTTGAGGGGTGGAGAGCCGGAAAGGGGAAAGGGAAGCGGTGGTCTCCACCCATGTCACCTCTTCGGACCACGGCGTGCCGTGGAGTGAGCTTGCGGTCTGCTGTTGCTGCTTTCCCGAGGACCTAAATATTCCCATCGCCCAACGACATTGCAGCTCCTGACACGTGTTTGGATTCTTTCATTGTACGGCTCCGGCTGCCGGTGTCCGAGCAATCGCAGAAGAGATAAGATTTTTATCGATGGGACGATTCAAATCCAAATTCGACGAGCCTATAAAGCCAAAACAAGAACTCATTAACTTTTTGAATCGAATTCGGATCGGATGTCGTCTCCATTACACACATTATCGAGATTTACCTGTGGCTCTGTCTTTGCAGGCTAGGCTTGCGCAGCAGCCAGGAAAAGAACACTACGATCAGTTTGGTTGCATCCACGCGATGGAGAGTTGAAGGAGTCGGTGGAAGAAGAATACGACCCACGTTGTTTCATGATGAAACTGCAGCTGCTTTACTGCAGTTTGGTGTCCGCAAGGCGAATACGAGAAGAAGAAAAATCACATACGACGATGATACAGTAAACAGACATGGAATATCGTGCGTAGAAGATGCTTGACTTCCATGGGATTAATGTTGGTGCCCGCGTACGTCCTTCTTTTCTCTGCAAACTAAACACGAAAGGCAGACGGCCGGTTCTTTTGTGGCCGCTAAGCTAGCTGTATCACAGGGTCGTCGGTCTTTGCTTCCGACAAGATGTGTCCCCACTCCCACAAGGAGGAGAGCCGCAGTGGCCGCTCGCCCATCTTTTTCTCCCTTCATATTCACATCCTCACGACCTTTCATGCCCCACCGACGCTCACCAGCTATCCTTCCCTCCTCTTCGCACCCCCGCATCAGTAGTCGGTCCTTTGCAACATATTGTTTAATTTGGATACTAGTTAAATCTCATTTTCTGCTTTGTTCTTATCTGCAAAATGTCAACTCCTCCGATGCAGATTTGCATGGACGCCTCTTCCGACTGGCTAAAGGCAAGTCATCGCTTCGAAATTTCTGTGGCCATGATGTTTGGCAATCCACATACGTTGGTCACATAAATGAAGGCTCGATGCCTTCATGTTCCGTAGCAGAAAATCGACTCGCCTCTCATTTTTTTGATTCTGCATGTGTACATCAAGAGGACCGTAGTTCTTGATGCTGAATCATATGATGCTTGTAGTTCTTGACTATGTGCATTAAGATTTGATCTCTTTTCAGTTGATCTTTTCGAAGTATGTCGAGTGGTGATTGGAATCTTACATTTGATGATGATCCTTGTCGCAATTTATGCAGCAGGGCATGGTTCAAGAGGACAGCGGGACGAATTCCTCCTCCCCGTCCAGCGAACTGATCTCATGCTCAAGGCCGCCGGTCATGGACAAAAGGCTGCGGCCGCAACATGATCAGGCCCTCAAGTGCCCCCGGTGTGACTCGACTCACACCAAGTTCTGCTACTATAACAACTACAGCCTGTCTCAGCCGAGGTACTTCTGCAAGACATGCAGGAGGTATTGGACTAAAGGTGGAACGCTTCGGAATGTGCCTGTCGGCGGCGGCTGCCGGAAGAACAAGCGCCCGAATGTTAAGAAGACAGCCGACCTGTTTCATCCGACGGCCTCGCCGTTCCAGGACGCAACCCTGCAGGCTCTCCACCAATCCTTTCCCTTGGTGCAACTGTCGCATCTCGAGTCACTGACCTATACTCCCCGGAACATCGATTTCACGGAGTGCAAGTACAACCTGATGCTCGACAACACTATGGATGGTCTCGATCTCATGGATACAAAGTTCGGAGCCATGTTTCCTAGGAGCCATCTTCCCTTGGGCGGAGGCATAGCAGGCCTCGGAGAAGCAAGTCACGGATTCACCTCAGCCGGCTTCCATGGCTCGAACGCTTGTGGCTTCTCCATCGATGGGAACCATGCGGCCTTCATGGAGACATGTCAGAAGCTGGCACTCCCCTTGGAAGGGCGCGAGGAGGCAAATGCGGTGGATGTCAAGCCCAGCGATAGGATTCTATCGATGGAGTGGCAAGATCAGTGTTGTGCCGATGCTGGACGTGAAGCAATGGGGTGCTCCGATGGCCTTGGATCGTGGAGTGGGATGATGAACGGACATGGCTCCTCGGCGACCATGTGAAACTAGAGTTCTGCTAGTCGTTACCACAATCAACTACGTAATGGTAGAGAAGAAGCATTCTGCCTATGTTGCTTCGAGTATTTGCTATTCCCCTTTCGATTGGTCTTCCATTTCCGGAGCAACGTGAAGTGATCATAGAAGCAGTGGAGTGACCTAATCAATGGTTTGATACTTTCTTCTTGTTTCTTTCTGTCCTTTTTCCCTCTCCCTTGATGAAGTCTTTGTAGCAACTTGATCTTTAAGTGGATTCCTAGAGAAAGAAATACAATCAACGTTTCAGAAAAAGAAACTCCAAGGCTCGAAGGGATGAACTCAGGCTCGGTTTAAGTCTTGTTCTATCTGATACCTTACTTTAACTCACGCCACACGATGGTCGTATGTATGCTACGGTGCTTTGAACTTGTATTTACTTTGAGCTTGAACTTAAGTTTGTCACGTCCAAAATACTTCTCTTTTAGCCACTAAATACACAGTCGAAAAACTCGAGATTTTAGACCTCAATTCTACTAAGAATATCTTAGTACTGTAACTAATAAGAAATAAAAGCAAATGCACGGGTGAAATGTAAGATGCCATTGCATGCATGATTAGGCTGTACTTCTCATTGATGCCATTGTTTCATCAAATTCCGTCTACTCATATGAATCGGTTGAGGTTTCGAGCATCAAATGCTTCTTCTACTCTAGTTTTATGTATAGTTCTGCCACCTCTTGGTCTCGTCGGCATGCATGATCCTGGGAGACGAGAGGAGATGAGATGAGATGATGCGGTGGTACATACGCAAGCCGTGATCCTTTTGCAGATAGGATAAGGTTGACTGCATAGATTTGCGTGTCAAATCCAGGATGCAGAAAACTAGGTCCTAGGTAAAGCGATATCTATCTACAGTTGCAGGGGCCACGAAAGGAGTGGTCTCAAAGGTTCGTCTTACTCATTGCTAGACCATACCTCGTCGGTGCCTGTCCATGCGAGTACAGGAAATAATTCTGAACGCTTTTCCTCCGCCGACAGCTCACTGGTTGAACAAAGGTTCACAAACTCGATGGAAACCCATTCGGTTCCCAGGACACCATTGTCAAGTAGCAACTGCACATATTGAGGATGTGATTGCAGTGGCTTTCCCAGAGAGGAGGAGGATGAGGGAGCCATAGCCAAGGGTGCGCTCAGCAGGCAGCTCTCTCGGACAGCTACAGCATACGGCTAGCCTACTTTGTCGAAGAACTATGGGGAAGCTAACTGTATTGGTTCGTTGCTCCAGTAATACTCGATACCGCCCGCAATGCAACCTAATATTAGAAAGGCGGCTGTAGCCGTCATGATTAATGATAATAAACAAATAAATTTATTACAGTTGAATGCAAGATTCACTGGCCGTACGTGATATGATACCATTTTAAAGAATTTAGACAAAATATCTAGTGCTGATTTTGAAATTTGAGTTTACGAGCAGAAGGGCCTACAAAGAGCTAATCTAAATCACGATCATATTCAAGATTTATTATTCAAGACATATTCTGCTATAGTGACATATTACTTGATATTGGCACACCAAGCAAAAGCTAACACACGAGCACAGCACCAACAACATCTAGTGGTATGATGACCGTGGCATGTCAAGCACCATCAACCTTCTCCGTCTGTGTGGTCTCAGCGTTTCCGGCTGCCAGCTTGGTTTTCTTTGCTTCGTAGTCCTTCACAGCAGCTTTGATTGCATCCTCTGCAAGCATGCTGCAGTGGAGCTTCACTGGGGGAAGAGAAAGGTGTTTGGCAATTTCTCTGTAAAATGGCACAAGTAAATATCATCGGAGTCAATTGTAAATAAGAAAGACCACAATATTCTGGGAGCTGTCAGATTCAATAGCAGGTAACCATCTGGTTCAAATCAAAACCATTACCATAAACATGGCATTAAAGATCAGATAAGAGCTAGAATCTTTTCCACAACAAACTGTCAGCTACACAGGTGGCGCACACACACCAAGGACAAAGATTATGGGAAAAGAGAGAAGCATCACACCTGCTAGAAGGTTTACAAATGCAAGCAAGGATCCAAGCCCAAAGTAAAACTGCATTTCCAAGAAAATATTGACCTAGCTGTCGTAAATTTTGCATCGGACACTAAAAGGTACTTGATCCTAATTTTGCTTCCTGAAGGCTCTAAGTTTCTTTGCATATCAAAAGTAGCTTCAGTTTGATTCCTGTTTCAGGGTTAGGAAAGGAGATCATACTCCGGAGATTACCGACCAAATAGGAATACACATTTTTGGCAGTACAGATTCTCACAAATCAACCATTTTCATTATAAGTTATGGAGTCACCAATACACAAAATTTTGAAGACAGGTCATGTTGAATTACCTCACACTAATTGATGATTGAGTATAGTCATTTATTAGGAGGAGAAGTTATTTCAATTTTATTTATTTGTACAAACTTCCTACAATTCCCCCACTAAATACATAGCAAGTTCCTTTTGTTAATGAATAAATGATTATGAGCATTAAGTCAAGGATAGTATGTATAACCATTTCTTTTCCTACAAATAGGATCCAATTTGATACGCTGACATGTAAACTTGAATTGGCAATTCATGGAGATTTCAAACTTTGATGGACTTTATTCTCTTAATTGGAAAAAAGGCCTCTAAACGCTATCTATCAAGAGCAAATAAGTCAAATTAAGAAAAAAGGATAGACCAACAGCCTATTGAATTACTTGCTAATAAATTCTTTACTGGTATCAGTCCGGTACTCCCTGCATGGAAATTCTACCTCCATACCTGGTTATGTTGGCAAAACATGCATCTAGTTTGGCAATGACCTAATCTGAAAGATGAAACAATCATTCAAAAGTTCCATCCACATGCATCATCCAGACACTACAACCATCACATGAACTGCCATGAACCATGCTACTTAAGACATTTTCACAACAATTTTTGGCATTGGCCTTTGCAAAAAATATAAAATTTTTCACATAAATTTCATGTAGTGGAAGAGATTTATCATCTATCTACCTATTTTCCTGCAAAACTCGCACGTGCCACCTATCATCTCTAGTCGTGAGGGTTCAATTGTCCAAGAAAGGGTATGAAAAGTTATTGAACACAAAAGGCAATTCCTACATCTGTAATTCAAAAATGACAAACTTATGTGCCCAAAATTGTAAAGTACCATATTAGTGACTTGTATACCATAATTGCAGGATTGCCAGGTATTCTCTTTCAGTCATGATAGATCATCACACCCCCAGCATATTGTGCACTCCATATAGCCTTACCATATTGTGCACTCCATATTGTGCAATCAATACATCCTTACCATCTCTATGTATTTTCCTACCATCAACAATTCAAAACAACCAGGACTCTGATCGAACACAATGCTTCCTCATAGTTAATTTCCTAGCCCCATTTTACTCTTTCAGTGTTCCAATTTCTTCTCTAGTTACAAACCCTATACCCATTTTCCCAACTTATATCTCATTGAATCTCAACCTTCAGAGAGCAAACCACAGCAAATCAAGAACATGGTGCAGCAAATAAAAACATAAAATATTACTGATACTTCTTTTAATACTTGGAAGTAATTTCTTTCTACTTTATTTCTCAGGAAACAGTAATAATTTCTTCAAGTTAAACATGTAATTGTGTCTTCTCTCAAAGTGTACATGATAAATATTCCAGAATCTAGATATAATGTATGAACAAATTCGACTAAATCATAGAAGTTCAGAAGTTGAATCTCAAATGGTGCAAAATAATTATAAAGTATGAAGAAGTTCATCTAAATCCATAGCATCTCAGGCATCGCACAGGTGGGTATATATAACCCTTCAAATGGTTTGAAATCTAATAAGAGGTCTCCACGAAAACATCAGCAGTTTCAAATATCTTTAAACCAACCAATTCACAAGATCAGTAAAGTGATCGACACTCTTTCCAGTGGAACTCCACATCCAGGTCCCTATTACAAAATTATGAGTATCATGTCTTCCACAACAATCGGACGGTTGCAGTCAGACAAAATATTTTTCTTTTGTATTCACTTGTTTCCTGGTCTAGAAACAGAGGAGATATATTTTGATGAAGTGTGCTTGTTAAGCAAGGGCTCAAGAGGTTTTACTATTTTCTGGTTACAAGGAGATCATGGAGTTTGCTGATATTATCTAGCAACCAAATGTTCCCGGCACTTCAAAGAAATCCTGGCGGTGCAAATACTTTAGAAGAATGCAGAATATTCAAGGTCTATTTTTTTTAGTTTTGAAGAATTAAAGAATACAAGTAAGAAATTCAAATTGCTAAAGATGAAGATAAGAGTTCACTTACGTGTTTTTAATGGATAACACTTCCTCCATGTGTTTTCCCTTCACCCATTCAGTAGCTGCAATAGATACCAGATCAATATCTGAGTTGCATTGAACAAAAAATAACTTCCTACTCTCAAAATAGAAAAATCATTCATGGAACTGGCGACAAGTTCATATGTTTACCAAAACACTGCATATAAGGAACAAGATTATGAGCCTAATAATCTTTAGCAATAAAGAGTAGTAACCCTTCCCTTCCTGGCAGCTTTCGACAGCTATAAGTTACAAAATCAGACGCAAGTCTAATTTCATAATATTCCCAGAGATCACCAAAAGATTTGAAATTATACTCCATCCTTTGAAGCCCGAAGAGAACAACTGGAACCACAGGATAACAAATAAAACTGAGCTATATGAAAGTCCAGAGCTCTTAATTGTCACCCACATCTGGTATCAAACGTAGGATCCGACTACAGAAATTAAGATCGTAATTTCCTTTTTCTTGTGAAGCAACTAACTGCTTCCATATATCTTAAGGAATATGGACACCCAAATTGAAGTAATTAAACCATATTAATGCTTGGATGTGGAGGTTTGATCCCCTGGGTGAGGTTGATTGACCAAAGTTCCTTTTTTTCTCCTCCCTATAAATTTCTGAGATTATCCAAATCCCATCAATAGCATTTAAAGATTAACTTTATGGAATGGATCATTTTCTGGATTCCAAAAACCAAGAAAATATTATCTTTTAACCATTTTCTACATAATCAGACAACACAAATCATTAGAGACCAAATCGGACGTCACCAAGAAAAAAAAGGAATGGATGAGAATCGGAGAAGGTATTAAGAACTAGGGATCGGAGGGTCAGACCGACGGAGGAGGAGGCGATGGCGGAGCCACAGCCGAAGGTCTTGAAGCAGGCGTCGACGATTTTCCCGGTGGCATCGTCGACCTTTATCTGGAGCTTCATCACATCGCCACACGCGGGCGCGCCGACCAGCCCCGTTCCCACCGTCGGATCGTTCTTGTCGAAGGAGCCGACGTTCCGGGGATTGTCGTAGTGGTCCACCACCCTCTCGTGATACCCCCGCGCGGCCACCGCCGCCGTCGGAGCCCGGTGCTCCGACCCTAACCTTAGAAATCGCCTCCCCGCAGCCCTCAACATCCTCCTTTTTTGTGTACCCTCTCGGACCGCCTCTCGACCGAAGACAGAAAGGAGAGCAACACTTCCATAGGAGCGCAGATAAATTAATGCGGGTAGTCCGGAGTTGGGCTCGGATCCGGATCCGTTACAATATTACGAATAACAGTTGCAATGCAATCATTAATCAAAAGGTGACACGTCGGTAGATGAACAGTCGTCGGACGAGAGGACGCGGAGAATTACTTTATCCAAAACATCTGATCCGACGCAACGAAGCTTTCCCGAAGAAATGGAGCCACAGGTCGTTGCGTGGGTTCGATACTTCGTTTGCTACCCTAAAACGATCGGTGACATCACGGGAACACCCTCGCTCGTTTAGGAAATTTACAACCGCCACCCCGAACCCAATTCAAGCCCGAGTCCAACCGAGCCCAATCCCTAACAACAGGATTCGAACCCGATCGTCGTATTGTCTAACCCATGATTTCTTTTTTGCTTAATAATAATAATAATAATTCCTCTTATCGACAAATATAGTATGGGTTGTATTTACTTTTCTTGTCAACCTCGGAGACGTACGAGTTGATCAACTGGCCGGATTAATGATTCCCGAGTTGAGAACAGCCGAGAGATCGTTCCCATGATGCTGTGGTGGAGGGGAAGAAGATGGCTGACGCTCTGGTGCTTCCCATGCACGCATCTACGACTTGGAGCCGGTGGCCTTAAAAGAAACCGGAGAATCTTAGGAGGAATGATGCCGAAGCAGAGGGCATACGTGAATCGTTGGGAGATGCATGCGGGCGATGCGGAAGAAATCGCATGTTCTTCTCGATCTATCGAGGGTCGAGGCAATGCGTTCGATGCGAACAGATGGTGCCTTCTGGCTGAAACGAACAGAGTGTATGTTCATCCTTCGACTCTGCAGCTTGGACAAGTCGATGAACATTCTGTCTCCAGCACGTATGTGACAGTACATATCATGGGGATCCAGACCATTAATCTGTTTGCTGCCCCGACGCATCGATGCATCCACCAAAAGACAAGAATTCGAGTAGCAAAAAGAAAAAGAAAGGGAATATGAGGAGAGAGGAGGGGCCTCCCTTTTGGCGGAGAGACTGACATGCCCACAGGGTTGCTGGGGTGTGGAGGACCCCATCATTGCAACTCCCACTCCAAACCCAGCCTTTGAGACTCTTTTGGCTGACCAGGACTGCATGATGGCTGAGCTGATGGAGGTATGACAGGGGCACCACCGCACACACACCCAGCCAGCCTCATCAGAGACCAGAAGAAGATAGCTGACACCCACAGAAGCTTTATCACAACTTGCAACCCAGGAGATAAGCAATCAATGAATCCTAACCTCACCTACCATATGCTAGCAGACCTGAGAGAGAGAGAGAGAGAGAGAGAGAGAGGGGGCAGCAGTAATAATGGAGGTGGGGTCAAATTGCAGAGCGTGGGAGGGGAGAGTGAAGCATGACCCTGTCGGTTGTTCCGGATTCTCTTCTTAGGCCCTCAAGTCCCTCCCACCCCCATGTTTTACTGCTCTCATCTCCTCCCTCTTCTCCTCCACCACTACTCCCCCGTCCCTCAGGTGATGACTGCATGCTGCATTAAGTTCGTCTCCTTTCCCGTCCGACACTTTTTATTTTAACTTGGGTTTCTTTACTTTGTTCCGACTTTCTGGTCCTGTTGCAGATCAAACTCGCCTCTTAATTCCCTTGGTGGTGTGTGAGTAACATCAGTTAACAGTTTGTCTCCAAGTCTAGTTTATGGAATTTAGGAGACAGGAGCAGGAGGAGGTCTACAACCCTACTCCTCTCCAGCAATCAGCCTTCACCAGGCCTCTACCCTCCTCCTCCACCTCACTCCTCTACGTAAGAGGAGGGGGAAGAGAAGGAGCAGGTGACGCGAGGAACGGGTTGGGGTCTCTTATCCAGAAGCCCACTCCCATCTCCGCAGCTCCTGCCGTGTCAGGTGCATTGGGTGGCGGTGGTGGTGGAAATCGGACTCATTCTACCGCCGCCGCCGCCGCCATTGCTGCCACTGAGTCTGACACGGCACTGCGGTACCGGGAGTGCCTCCGGAATCATGCCGCCAGCCTCGGTGGCCACATCCTCGACGGCTGCTGCGAGTTCATGCCACGCAGCGACGACGCGCTCAGGTGCGCCGCTTGCGGCTGCCACCGGAGCTTCCACCGCAAAGACAACGAGACGGACTGTGCGCTCTGCGACCTTCAGAACGGCACCCATGGCAGAGTCCCTCTCTTGCTTCCTCCGCCCCACCTCCCTCCACCTCCACTTCCTCACCATCACGCTCTGAAGCCATCCGGCCTTCTGCTGCACGCCGGGAACAGCGCCGGTGCAAGCGTGGGGGCGGCGACGGAGTCATCAAGCGAGGAGCTGATGGCGGGGGCGCCGCCGCAGCAGTTCATTGCGTCCAAGAAGAGGTTTCGGACTAAATTCACGGCAGAACAGAAGGAAAGCATGTTGGCCTTCGCCGAGACGGTGGGGTGGAAGATGCAGAAGCAGGACGATGCCGCGGTGCAGCAATTCTGCAGAGACGTTGGCGTCAGCAGGCAAGTGCTCAAGGTGTGGATGCACAACAACAAGAACTCCTCGAGGAAGCAGCAGCAGCAGCAGCCGCCGCCGCAGCAGGAGGAGGAGGAGGACGAGGAGGAGCAGCCGCAGCATGAAATGCCGGAAGACTGAGGAGCACGAGGAGAGAAGCCTTGTCGTACCTTTAATTTGTTTCCGCTGTTGTTTCTTGTTCTTAGACCAGCAGATGGAGTAATGGCATGACATGTAAGAGTCATCTGTTTAATCCTGTTGCATCGTAGTTTCTTTTGGCACGCCACATGGTTCTGCTGCGCTCGGTGGAGAAAGTAATGAAGCATTTACGAGTGTGCGACAATGGAACCATCGATTGGATCCACGACGGCACCACTTGCCCTGATCCTAAAACCAAGTAAAATCCAGGATGAATGATTGATTTAGGGAGGAGATAATGGACTTTCGAGCAACCCAATAAATCGGTTTCCTTTTCTCATGAAAGATTATTCAGAATCATCAGCCAAATAGAATGCTGGTGAGTCGGAAGGGAAAGCAAAAAGGTTGCAGTGTGGAAGATCTTTTGTTGCTGCACGTCTCTCGTACATTTTGTCTGTTGATTGCTTGCACTTACAAGACTCCGTTGAAGAGCCTTCTGCAGAAACGGATCTGTAAAGAACAATTGCCATTCCAGCGATCGAAAGGCTCCTTGAAAATAAACATGAAACGGTTCAGTATTAGCAATAGACCACACCAAAGCGATGATGATGAGGGTGAATGAATCTGCATCAGAACATATGTATAATCGATGCATATAGACTGCAGGAGTATGCTCTTATGATTTCATTTCACTAATTTTGTTCTACAGGAAGGAAATCGAAAGCTCATCTCCAGACTCCACATTCATCCAAGAATGTCAATCTTGGGGACATTTTCTTCTCCTCATGCATATTTTGAGTTCCCAACTAATCAAAATTCAAATACAATAACAAAAGGGCAAACAAAAAACCTATTTTTTCTAATGAGCGACCCTTCTCCAGGACATTCATGTACTCAGTGTTGATAACTACAGCCTCACCTGAAAATTATTAGCGAAAAATTGGGATCAATGTGATCGATCCTCCAAGGGAGATATGTAGCTAGGATAACTCCATATAGTAGTTCTCAATATATGGCTTATGTGGCAAGCTTGGTGCGTTGATGATGCTCGGTGACCTTATAGTTCACTATTTCCATAAAGAGCTCCGAGTCCAACATGCAATTAGGGCGCCCATATACAGCCGCTTGGACACTAGCCATGAGCTTTGCAATCTCTCGTCCCGAAAATCCAGCAGTCTTTCGTGCACCTTCACGAAGCACATCCTCTGTCATGTCCTTCACAAGTATCTTTTGCTGCTGCTTCTTGAATAGAGAATTCCACCATAATTGGCCATCACCTTCTTGCAATATATATTGTCCTAGGTAGAGCTTCAACAACTTGTAACGTTCTTCTTCGCCAGGCAGTGGAAACTCAATTACTTCATCCATTCGGTCCGTGACAGCTGCATCTAGGTCACCAGGTCTATTTGTAGCCAGGACAAGAACTGTATCCCTTGATTGGTCACCAGTTCGAAAAAGCAATGCATTCAATGCACTCCGCTGGGCTTCACTCATATGTATACTGTTCCGCCTGGGTACAAATATGAAAAAAATTATGAGCAAACTGCTATAAAACCAGACCTGAAACCAAAAAATAAGCAATCATAGTCTGATGATTTCCAATGATCCAGTTCTCCTGTTAAAGAAATTCTAGCATCCATATCATTTTTGCATACCGCTTGCTGTTTGTCGACATACACAATATATTGGGTAAACTATTTACGGCCAGCCTATTGACAATCGGGTTGGTAAGAGCAAAATGCAGAAGTCCTCAATATTCATAGACAATAGGAACTGGTATGATATATCATGTTACCAATATAAACTTCAGACAACTGGTTTAAGCAATCCACCAGCTTAGTATCTTCAGTAACTGTATTACAACAATAGTTGCTCCTGACCAGAGTGACACAAATGGAAGGACAACCTATCCAGGCCAATATATTGAATTAGGCTACATGGTGCTCCAATCAGTATTTCATTGGATGAGATGGCCAGCATGTTGATTCCGAAGGGGAAGTTACCAACCTTTCCCCATCTTTCATTTCTTTAATATCATTGATAACTAGATTTAGATTTTAAGGGAACAACCAAGGGTCCAAGATCATAACTAAGTTCAGAAATGTTGTCTGTACAAAGACTGCTGATTTAACATATATTACAAAGAAAGGGATGCTTCTACAATTTTAAAAAAGAATATAGTTGAAAACCTCCCTTTCCCAAATGACAACATTATCAACAGTGTGAAAAGATAAAGGGAATGAATATGTTTGCAGGATAGACATTTACAAAGTATAGGTAATGAAAACATTAACAAGATAGATGTTTACAATTAAGAATGATAGAACTTGAACCTTAACCAATCAGCAGAATAAGAGAACAAGATTTAGATCAGTAACTTACTCGCACAAAAAAGCATCAGCTTCATCGATAAAAAGCAATAAACCTTTTCTTGACTTTTTAGCCCAATCAAATATCTGATGGATTTTTGTGACAGCCTCTGAACCCAGTGGCGCAACATCCCCCCCAGTCATCATCGCATAATCCAGGCCCTGTAGACACAATATGTTGACATTTGAACTAAAATGTAACTATGAAAAGTGCCAAAAGCATCCTGACTTTGTTTCCAACTAATAAATTTCTCTGTTTGTGACAACTACATTTGATAAACAATTAAAAGGAGAAAGAGGAATAGACAGACGATATTAAATTAGTTTCTCAAGCTAGTATTTGGACATATCAACAAACCATTAAAATTTGTCAATCTTCTTTGTTTTTCCCTTCCACAAATTTTTATAAGGTTTCAGGGAAGAATGTTGCTTGTGGTAATTAAAAATAATACTTTTTCCTGAAAAAAGGGCAAGAATAAACTTTTGAAAATTTCAAACTAAGTTCAATTAACATACTGTTGAAAATTTTAAGATTGAAATGTTAGGATGTTCAATATTGAAGGCTACTCGAATTATATGGAGTTGAATGACATCAATTTATTAGCTTATTGTGTACGAGTGGCACCATCAAGTAATGACCCCATTTTTTTCTCCTGCATTGCTTTGTTGTGTCAAGCCAACTTGGAGCTTATCCAACATCATCCACTTTAAACATGACATTCAAAATTCAATCTAGCAGACCTGCCACATCTTTTTTTACTAGGGAAAAGCGAAGATGCATGATGGAGAATGATTCTGGTAATGGTTCTAATTAGCACCTCAATCATTAAAAGATGCCTATACAAATAAGCATCATTCGATATTGTACTCTTGCACAGTTAATTTAAGGAGAAAAATTGACAACAATAGACCAATAACATGCCACAAGAAAACGGTCATCACAATCATCTGCGAGCCGTGGAAAGGGAAATTAACTTTATAATTAGAACAAATAATAACATCATAGAAATATTCTGCATATCTTAGATCAGTTCAATCATACCATTCTACAACAAATAAATACCAAGGCCAACTTGACATCTTTGTGGTTTTAGAAAAAATAGATGCTGGTAGAAAAGATTAGTATTAAGGAAAACAGAAAGGATCATATCAGGATTACTGAAAAGATGAAAGAGGATAATTTCAGGTGATCCTAGGAAATCACTCAATTGGATGAAAGCAATGACCTTGTTAGGATTGGTAAAAATCTAGTTAAAAACACAGCCAGACAAACATTGATCTATAGCCACTGGAAAAGGCAGAACCATAATAAAGAAAGTAAGGTGGTAAAATTTTATTGCAAGTAATACACTCCAAGTGCATGAAGAATTTATGTATTTGAACCGGTACTAGAGAGAAATAGGAACTCACTGAACAATTAGAAGTAGAGTGTCACAAACACTATGATGCCAACCATGGCAGAGCCATGTTGGCTAACCTATGTGTACAATTTTAACCAGCCTATCAGATAAGAACATGAATTTTCTTGGGCTAACATGTATATCTATTCCTTCACTGCCTTATAATTTTTACCATAAGAACATCTAACAGCTGTTCATCACTGGTCTTTTAGCCACCAAATTATTCTTTTTTGCCTCTAGGCAGAGTCAAAATTATATTTGTGCAGACAATCAATTTTAGGATATAACCACTTCAGGCAGTCTGATTGGCTAGGGCCTTGTATGTAATGGTCTATCCAACCCGTACATGTACTTCACTGGAAAACAGACATGCTGATAAAGATGGATAATAAAAAATCTTGAGTTAAGACTGCTACATGAAGAAGGGTAAAAGCATGTGTCACGTAAGGAAGTAGCAGAAAACAATAGACAAGATAGCAATAAGTTTATGCACCTACCGATTTGCGAGCAATCTCTCTAGCAACCAAGGTCTTCCCGGTACCAGGAGGTCCATAAAACAGCATGTTACGAAAAGGTGCTTGATGTGACTTGGTATTTTCTGTTGCTCTAGCAAGTTGCTCAATCCTTTTCTTTAGAGAAGGATGAAGAATAATTTTGTCAAAATTAGACCCATTTTCTAATGATGTCTCTTTTCCAAGTGCAGCCCCAGAACTTGAAACAATTTTTTTGATCTTAGGTGCCAGTCCAGACCATGGAAATTTGGCTATTGACGATTCACGTATTAGTGATGGCTGGCCTAATATCCTATTGACATAACCCCAAATAACCCTTGCACCTTCCCTGTATATGAAAGATCAAGGTCAGCACAAACATCACCTAATTGAGAAGGACAACGAAGAAATACTATCTAGTGGCATAAGTTCTTGTAGTACAGAAGAATTTAGAGGTGATGGAACAAAAAGATGATGTTTGGGTAAACCTAGTAGTGTAGATGCCAGCAGCAAGGGCAGTTACTCCTCCGACAGCCATAATTAGTGTACCCCGATCAGTCAGTAACATCCTCAAACCACCTGTAATTTTCAAATGACTATCAGCACAGAGAAATGTTCTGAGATAGAATATTAGAGAGATCTTGCTACTGTACCATATCATAACTTGACAAGCAAGTACACATTAGCTAGATCTCAAAATGGACAGATTTATTCAGGAAAGTTACCGAAGGCAAATTACAACAGAAACAACGACAACAACAATAACAAAAACAAAAAAACCATAATGTCTCAACTATTCAGAGTTGGTTACATGAATCTTTCTCATGTTATTGAGAGCTCAGTAAGGCAACATCAGTAGCTAAACTAAAAATAGTTCAATGTCTTTTTATTGTTTCAGTAAAGTTTTTTTTAGGTCTCCTATCTTACCTCGCCTCATTAATCCTAAAAAACTCACCTTGTATAACAAGGATATCTACAAGTCTCCTACGAGCATGTCCGTAGCATATATACAAATTCCCCTCATTCTATCCTCTCTCAGAATTATATAGTCTCAAGTAACCCTGCAAATCCACCTTTAGAAGGTTAATGCTCTGAATAAGTCATAAGGATAACACATATGCAAACTATATAATCGCATGCAAATTAATACAATTGTATGCAAACAAATGATGGTGATTCCAATTGAACAGTATAAATGGGAAATAAAAGAAAAAGGATCAATATATGAGAAAATTTTAAAGTCTACAAACTTCAGTCAAAAAGAAAAAAGAATCATGAAAGGCAGTTGGCATCACATTTCTTTATTGATTTCTCTAACTTCCACAGAAGTTTGATTTGAGTCAAATTCAGCAGACTCAGCAAGTAAGATGCTTTTGGTACAAAAAACTTATTCTTTCTAATGCATAGGCCCATGTTCTCCCAGAACTACTAGAAATAACCAATAGTCGTCTAGTCCCAATTTGCACAAAATTTGGATAAGATTCTTCAAGCAAAAGTTTTTGTTAGTTCACAAACTAATTACTTCCATGTGCAATTTCCTAAGGCGCTTGCTAGTAGTTCATTACCTTCTATGTGGCTAAAGGTTGTATTAATTGCAGCAATCCACTTCTCCCGTTCACCCTTCATGTGTTCTAAAAGCATTTTTCGGTTATGCTCTTCCGTGAGTTTCGCTTCATGAGCCCGACCTTCAGCCTCTGCCATGGCTTTAACTCTTATTGTTTCACGCTCTATTTCAGCTCTCTCTTTCTCAGTCTGACGCAATTGTGCCTGGATTTGTTCTTCTGTAGCACGCCTTACTTGTTCCTTTCTTACAGAGGATTCTTCTTGCATCCTTACAAGTTCGACATTCTGCCTCCTCTGGGCTTCATGTTCTATCTGTAAAGAAATAAGGCATTGGAAATCCAATATCCATTTAGCAAGCTCAGCTTTGATCAATGCATAAGAAAATGTTCACCATATAACCATATTGTTTGAAGTAAATACTCTTGCAGCTTGAGAGTAAAAACAAGAATTCAATTACCTGCATCCTTTTCCTTGCCAATTCATCTTCATAGCGTGCCATTTGTGCCTTAGCTTGTGCTTGTTGTTGGACTAAGTTCCTCTGTTCTTCAGCCAGTTTTCTTTGCTTTTCCTGGCAACAGAGCAGCACACATTTGATGAAACATATGCAATATGAACATTAAACTTCCGGGGAATAAAATTGATAAATGAAATTTGTTTCACAGGGAACAACTGTCAAATGCAATGGATGATAAATAGCACGATACAATAAGCCTAGCATTGCTGCAGAACATAGTACTAAATTGAATTAACAGGTGGTATATAATCCATATAGACCCATGAATATTTGAAACCAATTAATTGTGCTTATGGACCGTCAGTTCGACCTCTTCTAATTTTCCATCATATGTCAGATAGTCGAATTGCTTCTTGTAAGTAATAGAAGCTTCAAATTTTAGGACATGAAAATCCATTCCCATGCAAGTGTAGGAAACCCAGTTACTTTCATTATGACAAGAACTAGGTTTTGCACTGTTGAAGCAGACCACGAGGGAAATGGAAAGTAGTTACAAGACCCATGAGATAGAATCCACCCAAAATGCAATCCTCTTTTTTTCTGTGAAAATGGCACGATTCCATTGTAGAAAGAATTGCTAGACTTTAACTTATGCTGAAAACACCACGGTGAAGCAAGAATGCCATAACAAACATCATGAAATATACTAAAATTTTATACTTAGCAAGAATTACCACTTCCACATTGGATCAGCAGTCCAACTACTTGATAAATTACAACTGGACTCAGTATCCTAGTGATGTAAATGGGACAACATAGCATCAAATAGACTTAGATTTCCATTTCCAACTACAGCAAACAATCGACTGATGAACAAAACTATATTAGAATGCCTTTTTCTCATTGCATAATAAAATGATATCTTTGTCCTGTCAACTCTGAGGCCACATAATGTGCTTTGAAATTCCCTGCTAAAGTTATCAGTTTCATGGTGTCAAACCATGAAACTAAGTCAAGTACATTGACGAACTCGTTGCATTTACAAATGCCAAAGTCAAAATCTGGACTCTACGTCAACTCGTGTATGCCAAGAAAGAAAAAAAGACAACACATGTAATCCATTTTTTGTGTTGGAAAATAAACAATAGTCTCCAATCTACGCCGCCCCTGGAACTATGCCGCAAGAACACAGAGAAAGGTCGAAAGGAGATGAAACAATAAATAAATAAATTGCTCACAATTTCACCCTCAGCTTGCATCGCAAGATACTGGGTCTTCTCGGCAGCCACCTCTGCCAACCGCGTCTCCTCCTGCTTCCTCATCAGCTCAAACACCTAAAGAATCGATCGTCATAATAGAGACAGGTCCAAACAAGCTGAAGAGGGCTAAAAAGAGGACTAAAAGCCAGGAAAAAGAGCAAACACCTGCTTCGCATGAGGGGAGCTATTGATCTCCCTCAACGCCTTCGCCCCTCTCTCCAGCGCCTCAGGATCAAACCCACCGGACGATGTGGACGACGAAGAGGCCGCATCTGGAGCCTCTCCCGGTGGGCGGGTCCCCGCGGTCGGCACAGCGGGCGCCGCAGGAGTCGGAGAGGGGGACGAGAGATAAGGGAAACGAAAAGTGCCATCGGCGTAGGCGTGGTCAGAAAGCGCCGCGAGAGCAGCCGCGGCCGCCGCTGTCGCCGAAAGGGCGGCGGCGGAGCGCGACAGCCGGAGCATTACGAAGAGAATCGTGTGGTCTTAGGGGAGTTGGCGAAGGGTTTTAGGCGTAGTAGGAGAGAGGGCGGCGCGGGTGGTCAGGAGGGGCAATCTGAACCCTCCATCTGTGGCCCGCGTAAAGCCCTAAATGCAATTTCTTGGCAAGAAATGAGTAATGGTGATTCTATACTAATTCACAGAATGGCATGTTAGAGGATGAACCATATAATTCTGAACATTAAATTAATATACAAACATATTATTAAATAATATTGAAATTTTGTAATATTTTAAACACCAGAAATACAAACGATAATGCAGATTTAAAAGATGTAAATAATTAATTTGATGCACCATTCTCCAAAGACGAAGTGAAATGTAACAAAGAAGAGAGACATTACAAACTTAAATTTATCAAATTTTCCAATCCAACTGGTTGACCTAATTGGGATCAAATAACTATGCCAACAAATATTAGGTGAGTCGACCACTATAAATTCAAATGTATAGTCACTCGATAATCAAAATTAAGAGGCTCTGAAAGAGCGTTTCGAAAAACAAAAAACTCTTTCTCCTGAAATTTTCTATGCAATATCAGAATAGTTGGCACAGCAGATAGAACTGATAAACAAAACTCTCATTAT